GCAGTAAAGGGTCCTTGAGAGGAGAACCTAAGGCCAGCATGAATAGAGGGCACACCAAAAGTCCATCTCACCCATCCCATCTGGGGGACTGTGCCTCAGCCTCCAATCTCCAAGCTGCTGACATTTGACATTCAAGAGAGAACCTCAGAGTGAAGCTTGTGTACTGGCCAGATGTACTTTGACTCTGTGAACCTGAGGCCTGGTAGATATAGAATTGTTTGCATTATTTTTATCTGGTATCACCGTGTATCAGTAAAATTCACCTATTATCGAATGGAGAGGTCATGGTTGATCTGAGGGTTTTGGGTCTGCTTGGAACAAGGTATCTTGGTCATAAATACAGTGCCTAAACTAAGAATCTGCCTATTCCCTGTCACCAAAGTGGTCAGCCTATTCCCTGTCACCAAAGTGGCCAGCCAGGGACAGCTGAGCCTTCACTTCTCCCATATAAACCCTTGACCTGTAACAGGAAGTGTCAGGGCAGCAAGGCAACCTGACCCAAAACTGCTTTGCTGTTCCTTGGCTTTGCCCTCTGTATGACCTCCTAACTTCTTGACTTTGCTTGTCCCTGCATTCTGCTCTTGGATTGACTTCTTGACTTCCTTAACTTGTTTGATCTTGTATTCTGCTTACCCATCCCAGCCCTAGACAGTGGCCCAAGACCTGGCTGCCCGTGTCCTGGCATGATACTTATGGAGTCTTCTGACCTGAAGTGCTGCCAAATTTCTAGCTCTGCAAGAAATCCTGCAGGCCAGATAACACTCCTCCACACTCTGGTCCAAAACTTCAGATCAAATAAGTTTTAACACCCTTGGATTAAATAATGTAAAGATGATTCCTGTATCCCTAGTATATTTTTTTCTGGTCAATAAGGAGATTTATAAATACAATTCATATTTTTATTGTAGTCATAAAAGCTTAATATCTAACTTACCAAGTACTTTTAATCATAGAAGTAAAAGTAACTTGCTATATGACATAGAAAATAGTATCTAAACAACCAGTAAATAACTTCTCATAACCATCAATCAACCATATTTCCATTAATAAAAAACTAAAGTCCTGAGATATATCTTGTCAAGTGGGTTGTGAATTCTCTTCCAACTTGTAGTTAAAAGTTTAGCTTTTACATATCCTTTTGCTACCAGTTTTCAACAGGCAATAGATACTTCCATGAGGAGGAAAAAGTATGTTTTTTTCTAAATTATACATGTCTTGTGATTATATCCTATTATAATTTCAGATATACTGAGGCATAACAAGCTCCTTCAGTGCCTAGGTCAGGGTGGCATGGGAGACCACCATAGATGGGGGGGGGGAAGGGGGGAAGAGGAAAGGGGTCTTGCCTGTCCTGGCTCTCTTTACAGCAAAAACATCTGTTATGGCTGCCACTGCTGCTGCTATAGCAGCATTGCCTCAGCAGATAATAGTCCCATGGTATGAGCTCCTTGAGAGTTGCCTCTGGTGCCCTGTTGACTCCCACTGCCCCAGATATGTTGTCACATACATGGTTGTGCCTGCTGAAGCAAAGACTCATGGGGGAAGCACCATTCTGATCTCTCCATTTGCCCCAGCCCCACAGATACACTGTTGGGTGTGGAGCTGTGCCTGTCCAGCTCCAGTGGCTACGAGTTCATAGTGCAGGGTTGCTGACTGTCTGCCACACTAAACATTTTTGGAGGAGGCATTCTGGTGCTTGTTTATACTTGGCACTTGCTCACTCCCCCCACCCAGTTTTGCTGCTACATGCAGACAGTCTTTCAACAATTACATAATCAAAAGAATTCATATTCAGAAAGATTCTAAGAGAGTTAGGACAGCCTCTTGAGGTCTCTTTGAGCACTAACTCATCTGTATCTAATGTAGGCTCCTCTTCCCATACCAAACCTCCCTCTATACTCATCCAGGAGATCAGTGCCATCTCCTCATTCCTACCCTCTACATTATTCTACTCTTTCCCTATATTCTCTACAGCCAGCTGTATGGCTGTCAGCGCTTAAGTAAAGCACAAGAATATGGGTGGAAAAGGCAAAGTAGCTCTTACTAATCTTCTGCCCTCCTTATGTTGTTTTGTAAAATTATTAGGGAAAATCAGAAGAATTCAAATGAATCATTAATTAAATGTAATTGTGTGATGTCCCTTGAGAACCACAGAGAATAATGAAAATAAAGTTAAAATTCAAGACAAGTGTCACTTGATATCGCCAGAGCAGATGGCTGCCTGCAGCTGACACTCCATAGGAGAGATGGCATAATCCACAAACATCACTGATCCCTGAACCCCTTAACACCCAAAAAGCATTTTTCTTGTTTGTAGAAGTTGTTCCCTATGCAAAGGGGTTAATTTGAAAAGTTACTTCCCCAGAAGAAACACTGCAAAATTCTCATTGAGAACATTTCATGAGATTTAAAGTATCAAAGATGATTTTTACAGGGGGAAACCACATGCAGAGCAGAGATAGAGAAGGACAAAACAGCTCATTTAACCAGAGAGGACTTTGGTGAGTTAATCTTAGAAATCGGAGCTTTAAAATCCTTTATGGAGGTGCAGCTTAATAAAATCAAAGCAGAAACAACAAGCGTTATTTGTTTCAAGAAGTCTAGAGACCAACAAGGGGCAAGGAGCTGCTGTATCTGATACTGGCCGAAGGCAATGGTCTAGTCAGTGTCCTAAGAATCTAGGGGAAGCTGGGAGACAATGACCATGAGTTGATCACTTTCTCTATTCACCACAAAGCTGGCAAGTCAGTAAGCAATACAGAAGTCCTCAACTTTAGAAAGGCCAGCTTCCACAAGCTTAGGAGGCTAGTTGTTCAGGCCTTGAGAAACCACAATCTGGCAGGGAGGAATGTCAGTGATGAATGGTAGCTCCTCAAAGATGCAATCCTTGAAGCACAAGGGAAGTCCATTCCAACCTGCAGAAAAAGTAGCAAAAGGTCTGGGCAACCCCCTTGGCCCAATAAGGAACTCAAGGACCTCCTGCACCTCGAAAAAGCTTATAAAGGATGGAAGATGGGAAACATCACTACGGAGGAATACTCAGGCACTAGCCCACACCTGTAGGGAGCAAACTTGGAAAGCCAAGGCTGAAACAGAGCTCAGACTGGCGACTCAAATTAAGGACAACAAAAAGTCCTTCTTCAAATATGTCCTTCAGATATGTGGGAAGTCAGAAAAAGAACAAGGGTAACATTGGACCCTTAGTAAACTAGGTGGCGTAGCTTCTAACAGACACTCAGGAAAGAAACAATCTTTTTGATGACTACTTTGCATCGGTCTTCCATCAGCCCAGTGGGATCACCCTGCCTGACAAAAGCAGGATCACCAGGGGAAGGGCAAACCTGCTCCCACCATTACCACTAATCTTGTGAGGGAACATCTTAAGAGGCTGGACATCCACAAATCAGCCAGCCTGGATGAAATGCACCCAAGAGTGCTAAAGGAACTAGCTGACATTATAGCATAGCCTATGGCGAGGATATTCTAGAACTTGTAGTGCTCAGGTGAGGTGCCTAACAATTTTTCAGTTGAGGGCCAGTGTGGTACCTATCTTCAAGAAAGGGAGAATGGAAGATCCAGGGAACTACAGGCCAATTAGCTTGACATCAATCCCTGGAAAAAGCCTTGAAAAAATCATTAAGGAAAACATTATCAACATCCTAACCGATGGAAGGAATATTCTGAGAGATAGCCAACACGGCTTTGTGGTGAGTAGATCTCGTCTGACCAACCTGATCTCCTTCTATTACCAGATGACACATCACCTGGACAAAGGAGAAGAGGTGGATATCATATTCTTGAACTTCCAGAAAGCCTTTGACCTGGTGTCCCATGATGTCCTCATAGAAAAATTGCGGAATTGTGGCCTAGACTATTTCACAGTCCAATGGCTGGGGAACTGGCTCCATGGACAGGCCCAGAGAGTGATAGTTGTTGGAACCAAATCAACTTGGTGCACTGCAACCAATGGTGTCCCCCAGGGCTCTGTTCTTGGACCTGTACTCTTCATTGTATTTATAAATGTTCTGGATTTGTGTGTTATAACCAAACAAAACTCTGGCCTGCATCTTCCAATGCATCTCAAACAAGACCCGGGAAGTCATCCTCCCACTTTACTCGGCCTTGGTAAGACCACAGCTGGAATACTGTGTCCAGTTCTGGGCTATGCAATTCAGAAAGGATGTGGAGAAGCTCAAAAGAGTCCAGAGGAGAACCATGTGAATGATTAGTGCGTAAGAAGGCAGGCCTTATGAGGAGAGGCTGAGAGACATGGCACTCTTCAGTCTGGACAGAGTAGGCTCAGGGGTGACTTGGTGGCAGCCTATAAGTATATAAGGGGTGTGCACTGGGAACTGGGAGAATGACTGTTCATCAGGGCATCCCATGGGAAGACTAGGTCCAGTGGTCACAACCTCTTGGAAGATCATTTTAGGTTGGACATAAGGAAAAATTTCTTTACATCCAAGTCCCCAGGGCCTGGAATAAACTCCCCCCAGAGATGATGCAGGCATCTACTCTGGACACTTTCAAGATACACTTGGATGCCTATCTTGCTGGCATCATTTGACTCCTGCTGGCTGCCTGCCCTTTGGGCAGGGGGTTGGACCCAATGATTGTGTGGGGTCCCTTCCAGAGTCACAGAACTAGAAATAAATGTGGAGGGAAACTTGCAATCAGCAGTGAATCTTCAAAGTAAAATTAAAGAAAAGGAGCTTGCAGAAAAATTGAGATGATAGAAAATCATAAAAAAAAGAAATAATGTAAGAGCAAGAGGACTCTAATAAGGTATGGAGAAGGCAAATCCTTTACCTATTAGAATATTTAAAGCAGGTATTCTATTCCTTCATACAGCTGAAAGAGGCCTCTGTCCTTCTAAACCTTGTAAATCAGTGATTCTTTACCAATGTGCCATTAAATCCTTTCAAAAGTGCTGCAGGGTACTGCATAGTGGGAAAAAAACATTATGAACAGTTGTGGTCTTTCTGAGCCCTTTGCAACAGAAAAAATATTTTATTGTTTTTCTGTAGTCAAAAAAATAGTGGAAACTGAAAGCTGACATTTTCCAAGAGTTTTTCTAAGTCTAAAATGTTTAAGAATCACTTTTACAGACAGAGCACACATGGCTCTCCACAGCTTTCCCCAAACAGACACAGAGACATAGTACTACTTTTTCTGTGTTTTGAACAAAAGCAGCAGATTCTGAAGACAGAGAGATTTCTGATCCCCTGGGATTTCTGGGAGTATATAAAATACATGTGTTTCAAGATTTGTCACAGGCAACATTAAGGAGAAGGAAGAAACTGAGTGAAATTACAGGATCTCTCAGAGGATAAAATATAAGAACAGGTGAGGTTTTCTTTTAAACATATCTTTACATATCAGGAACAGCAGTACATTTTAAAGGAGAAAAACATAAGTTGTAAAATCCTTGAGAAATTAATTAATATAGAAAGCACCCTGGAATCTGCAAGACACAACACCACAATACTGAATGGTTGGGGCGCACCAATAGAGATTTTCTTGGCTGATATTGTTAGTTGATTATTCACCAGGCATACTGGCCAATAGCAATCTGATAGCCAATTAACAGGAGCATAACTTGGTGGCATGGACAGCAGAGCCCTGAAGGTAAGTCTGTAGATGGGAAGGAGTGTGGGGGAGGGGAGGGAAGGGACATGGGAGGGGAGAGAAGGAAGTGTGACGGCATCAGGAGAAGGAAGTCATGTTAGGCATCAGCATTCTTTTTCTAACGGAAAGAGATGAATTATGGTTTTTGGATTAAGGTGATTATAAGAAAATGGATATTGCTGAATCACAAAGCATACAGGAACTGCTAGACAAGGATGCCCAGTTCTCTAGCCAGTGTTAGTACAAGTCTATAAGTGCTGATTTCCACTGCAGATGAGCTGACCTTAAAATTGTAGACAGATCAGAAGGACAAAAGAAAATGAGGAGTCTAAAATATCAGGAGAAAAATTAGGACCTTGTTGTTCACAGCTTTAGACAGCTGCAAGAAACTAAGCATACAAATCAGAAACAACAAAGTAATCATGATGCAAAGTAATTAGCAGCAAGCAGTTCTACTCTGTTGTAACATAATTATGCTTTGAT